AACAAGGTTCCCCTGGGGAGAGTGAATGTACGTGCAGGAGCTGGGCCAAAATCAGACGCAGGGCTCTGGCAATCCCGGCTGAGCTGACTCACCGGCCGGGCTCCCTCCCCGGAGCCAGCGCAGCGCGGCACCTCGGCACGGTGGGTCCTTGTCCTTCCCCGGGGAGAAGAGGGGCTGGGGGGCTGGGGCTGGGAGCTGTTCTCTGGGCAGCACGATGCAACATGGGGCCCCGAGGTCTGCTGGTCCCGGTGCCATGGGGCAGAGGGCTGTGGGGGCTGTGAGTGTGCTTCGGAATGTGCATGTTGCCTCTTGCCCGTCCTGTGTGCCAGGGGGGTGCAGGGTGGCCTGGCCTGGGTGCTGTGGATGTGGCAGCAACCCTGAGCATGTGCCAGGAGGGAGGGCAGTGTAGATGAGGATGAGGGGCTGCTGGTGCCGCAGCCCCTACCGTGGTGGAAGTGGGAGCAGGGCTGGAGATGGGGCAGGGGGCTTGCACAAGGGGCTTCTGCCCCCCAGGGCTCAGGGGCAGCAGTGCCAGCACAGCCCGAATCAGGACTACTAGAGGTAGCAGGAAAGCAAGAATATTCTGGTTTTATGGCCTGTCTCATGATGTGTTTATGGTTGGGATGGGGCAGACACAGACGCTGCCCAGCCCTGCCCTGGGTGGCACAGCAGGTCCCTGCGCCTACAGAGGATAACAGACGGACTTTGCTCTCTAAGGTGGAGCTCCCAAGGGCTCTTACTGACACTGCAGCTGTGTTTGCCCACTGCCAGGAAGCTCGAGGGCTCCTTCCTTGCTCACTCCATAGGCAGGGACCCAGCCAGGACCTCGAGGGGAGCAGGGTCCTACCCCGTCCCTTCAGAGCATCCTCTGCCCTGTCTGGCCCTGGCGCTGATCCAGAAATCACCAAGTCTCTGCTTTGGTGCTGAGCCCCCCACGTCACAGCAGCCGCCACATAGCAGGTACACTGACCCCTCACCACCCCCAAACCTGCCCCACATTTGGGGTGGCTGCTGAGCTGGGGTCCGTTCCCACAGCCCCCCTGTCCCAACGGCAGGGAGGACGGACACCTGAGCTCTGGCTGTGCCATCCAGGTCCTCACCAGCCCCCAGCCTGGCAGGTGTTGCCCCTGGGAGGGTGTTTGTCCCGTGGCAGGATGCTGGGGGATATGGAGGTGCAGGGTATGTCCCTGGTCCCTAGAGCGTCACCTGAACAGCTCCTTCTCCCCAGGCAGGGCCCGGAGAAGGGAATCTGCTGCCCAGCAGCGCCGCTCCAGGGAGGTAGGGTGGACGGTGCCCCTCCCCATGGCGGCTGGGCCCCCACGTAACGCCAGCCAAACTGGACACCGTGGTCCCACGAGAGAATCCCCCCGGCCAGAGCCCACCCGCCTGCCACCTCCGGCCCAGCCCAGACTCATCTGTCACTGCCTGTCCCCACACTGACCCGGCATCCCGTGGGTCGGACACGGGCACGCACCGCGATGCCTCAACCATCACCGGTGGGTAGGGATGGGCAGTGCCAGTAGGTGGCCCAGGGGAACTGGGAAAAGGGGGGGGAAGAGCTGGGGAGACTCTGGGCTGGTTCTGCATCCTGCCCCCATCCTGTTGCTGGGGCTGAGCCACTGTCCTGGCATCCTTCACCCCACACCGTGCTCTGTCCCCGGCACCACTCGGCCGGGCAGAGCGTGGCCAGGAGATGGCAGTAGGGCCCTGCCTGCAGACAGCAGGGGGGCGAGGGGGAGCAGGGTAGAGCTGGGGGGGGATGTCCCTGTGTGCCACGCTGCGGGGGATCCCCCAGTCCCCACAAGAGTGGCTTTGGGGGCAGACCCGTCTGGTGGCACCAACCTCAAACCCTGAGGGGACAGAGGGGGCTGAGGGATGTAGGAAGTGCTCCCCTGCCAAGCCCCCATGCATCCCATTCCCCTCAAGTGCCCCCAACCCTGGGCTGACACCGTGCCCCTCTGTCCCCAGAGCTGTGCAGTGGGGACATCCCCGAGGTGGAGATCATCAGCCTGCTGGGCGAGCAGCTGCCCCGCTAC